GCAATATTTTGAATGAACAACGTAGCAGCGCCGCATCTAGTGGCTTCAACTGGATAGGCTTACAAAAACATTATAATGCAACGACACTTACATCGTCATCACATCTCGTGCGCCATTGATAAGGCTGCCTCCTTAACGCACAACTAAAATTCGAATGCAACGTTTTTGCATTAGAATGTGGATTTTTATTTTAAATTCGACGAATATTCGAAATTCTAAATTTTTTTTTTGACAGCCCTATCACATGATCCTTCAAAAAATGTATAGCATTAGTATATTATATGTAATTATGTATTTATGTATGTTTATTGTAAAGTGTCAGCTCAGCTATTATTGTCGCTCCTAGCCCTTAGTTATTTATGCTTTTTTTTTTACAAAAATAGAATTTTGAAAATAATAATTCCATACAACATCAGATCATCAAGGGCAGGTCAAATCATTATGCAGCTCTCAGATGGCACAAGTTCAGAGGTCATTGGTTGTTGCGTGTCTCATGACGTCAGTTATTCTCTCTATTACTGTCTATAATTATTCTTTCTATTATTATTGTCTATTATTCCTCTCTCACATTCACTGCGAGCTTAGAGTTTGCTGTGATCTGTGGCATTTTGTTGCAGACTAGGTGAAGACTTAACACATGAAGGCCGACAACCTTAAGTCTTGTAGTGTGCTTGATTTAACTTTTAAATTCACACATTGCTTTCATTTTGACGAGTGCGATGTTTTCACTTTTTTCACACTTCAGACTTGTCTTTCTGAGTAACACTCCATCTCAGGCTTCTACACACTAACATTTCATCATTCTCTAAATCTTTCCTCTTTCTCCCGAAACTTCTTTGAAAGTAGCTGTCTCGCTTTTGGATCTTCAGAGGCCTGTAAAAACATTTCCTTTGGCTTCTTTAACAGCAGACATTTATCACTGGCCATAAGACAGTGATGTTGAATTGTTATTTGCAAATGTCTATAATTCATCCGCAACAACGTCAGTCCTCTTCAATGTCCCTGTTGCTCTTGAGTTTAGACTTGCGCATAATCGTTATTCAGATGGACGGCATTTGGAAATTCACTTTGCCAAGATTCAAATGGAGCCAGTTTAGTTTTTTGTCTTAGATTTTGTGCTAACGCCCTTAAAGATATTATTAAAAACAGATACTGTTTGTCTGAAGACTAAAAGCTCTGTTCATGAAGCTCCATCTGCTGGTTTTTCCAAACAGCGAGCCACTTCACAGCATCCTTTAATACACAGTGAGTTATTTTCCCCACATGCATAGACCTCTGCTCCTGTCTGTCAGTCATTGCATCTCTTAGTAGAACTGAATTCATAAGGCATATGAGACCAAATGAGCATCAGAAGCTTTTTATTATTTACACATTATATCATGGGGCTGTTGAATGCTTGATTCAGATTGGTGGACAAACATTCTAAGGCGTGCAATTATTTTCCAGCAAACGTACAATGTATGAAATGGTTCCTGGTCTGGCGAGTGGCGACTACATTACAGTTACATATCACTTTGCCCAAATTATTTTAGCTACTTCGAAAGTCCTTCCAGCCTAAAACAGCAAATTAACTAAAACCCACAAAGACTGACCAAGAAAACAATTATGACAAACAATAGGATAAAAATTACACAGGTTTTCCATGTTTTTCCTCAATAAATTACCTTTTTATCTATGGAAAGCACACTTTTTTTCTTCTCTCTCTGTCTCTGCATGCACACACATACTAGCTATGTTTCCATCCAAAGTTGTGAATTTAACTTATTGGAATATTGCATAAAATATTTGCAAATAAAGCACCGTTTACGTCCAATGAGTCAAAGAGCACAAACTCGTCACTGGCACTAAAGTAGGAGAAGCCACTGAATACAGTAATTTTTATATATAATAAATTACTTGCGCCTCAGAGCGAGCAGATGAAACAATAAATATGGTCATTGCTTTAGGAGGTGGATGCCTGCTGTATGGGAACGCAGTCATGTAAGTCATTTCTGGGAGGCAATTATACAAAAATATTTTGACGACAGACTTTGCTCAGGCATTTCAGAATGACCATAACAGCATTTCAGAAGCTGTGCAATGAGATTGGTCCGCTGGTTAATCAAGTTATGCCGTCCCATCGCACAAATTCACATGACTTTATTGTTGCATGTGTAGGAATTTATTCGATTAATGTGTTTCCTTCTCCCATTATTCACATTAACTCTTTTTTGCACAAGACAAAAACCACCTCAAGTGAGTGTAAAATCTTTTTTGCAAAATAATTGTTTTTTTTGGGGGGGGGGGGCTTTTCCATCATCCGTTTCTGATGCAATACTTCAAAATGCGCATAAAAACAGGGCGATGGAAGCATAGCTACTGTACAAACACACACTCGCACACACATTTGCAAGCTCTAAAAAGACATCTTGAAATTAGCAACATAGGCTTGGGATGAAATGAATAAGAAATTAGTTTTACACACAAGCGTTTTAAAGCTGAACGATGTCTTGGGGTGTGGTAAACGTGGTATAAGTGAAATTGATTGACTATGGGCCATTCAATTATTGAAAATAATGCATGGCTCCATTACTACCTTGGGTGTGCATTATTTTTCAATAATTCAACAGGCCATTGTCAATTATTCCTTAGTTCATATCTGTATATGAAACTGCTCACTCCTTCACTCATCCATTATTCACTACATAGTGAATACCATATTTCACTATATAGAGAAAGGCTGAGGGAAAATGAGTTACATATGATATCAAGGACTTCCAAGAACACTTCCAGTCTCACCTCTCATACTGAAATGCATTTCCAATTTTTTTATTTATGATTTATTTATGAACTTTTTAGGATGTATACAAAGATAAAGAATACAGGAATAGACAGAAGTAGAAATAGAGGAGGGCTTTTCCAATGGAATAAAATTAGTCGTCTTGCCTTAATTCCAATAAAAATGAGTGCAATAGTAATGAAGAAAATGGCAGGGCATATGGATTGGGGTAACTCAAAAATTTCATTCAAACCACATATGGATGTAGTTTGAATTGGGTTCACTTTTCAGACTACAAAGAGTTGAATATGCTAAACCGATTTTGCTTTTTTGGGATTCCCCAATATGCCCACCAATTTTTATTCATTGATGCATCAAAGTAATTCTAGTGCAGTTCAGCAAAAAGTCAGTTGAATTTGCAAATAAACACTGACACTCTTAACAAGGAGGTTTGTTTAATTGTATCAAGGGTTTGTGTTTCTGGTTCCACTTAGAGTCAAATTATCTCCTGGTTCCACTGTTCATCCTCTGTTCTCATTAGTGTTCATTTCCTTTATGTACAGTGCATTAGTAAACATCTTGAATGGCCTTCTAGCAGAAAAAGGGCTTAGAACCTCATTCCTTCAATTCTTAATATAAAGCCTCTTTGCACTCTGTTGTTTCTGCTTGACTATTAAACAGGTTTTTTTTGTAGTGAAAGCTAACAGATACAGTCCAATTAAATACAGCATACTTCAATTGTGGAAAAAGGCTAATGGTTTAAAGCCTAGTCTTGGTTCAGATGTTTTTTTGTTGACCTGTTTTAACTTAATACCACCAAATGGAAATAACTTCTCTTCTGTAATATTCATGAGCTCACTGGCCGTTTCATTTCCTGTGCGCAATGACCTGGGCTCTTTCTCTGTGAGGTTGATAATTACTCTCTGAGAAGGATCTCTGTGCCTTTGTGAATTACTTTTTTTTTAACCTCATCCATCTCATAAACCACCCTCTGTAAGCACGAAATCCAGAGTTTCCATGAGTCTTATGTTGCTTACATCCGCTTATTGGTGAGGTTATAGAAAGATCAGTCAAGTGCCAAGAGGGTATTCCACCAACACGAGGATCGATATTAGAATTGGCCGGCAACCAAATGAACAATCCCTTTCCTCTCCATTTTCTCCTGTCGATATAAAGACAGAATAATCACAGACACATTTATGTCAGCCTCCAATGAAACCCTGTAATCTTGGAGGATCATGATCCCTAGCACCACTTTTCATGGGAGTTGTTTTTGTCTTAAGAGTGAGAATACTACATGCCAATTTCACTAGATGAATTCATTCGTATAGCGGCAAACGTGGTTGCCATGAAGATAAATATTTAGTTATGCAAAGAAGGCTTTTTGTTTTCGCCTTTCGAGTGATAAAATGCACTGAATACCATTTGTCAGGGCTAAAATATGCCTTGACAGCATCTCTTTTTTTAGTCGAGAAAAAAAAGACTAAAATATGCCGTTCGTCAAGAGACATTTATGGGTTCATTTGTTTGTGTTTCGCTAACTGCCGTCCTCAGATATCCTGAGCATAAATCTTTGCTCTTGTTTTAATGTTGGGGTGTTTGCTATATTATTTTATCCTACGCTGCTTTGAATGGCCTTTCTTGACAGGAATGTATTACTCATTTTTCATTACCCTAGAGAAAAATGGCAGGCTAAATTCAGGACGTAGGGGTGCAGCGAGCGAAACGGTTCAGTCAGTGCCAAAGCAGCTGTGCTGTTAGATTTCACAGTTACGTTTTCACACATTAAAATATCTACTCCAAAAGGCATAGAAGTTTGATTTTAGGTGCTATTGACTGTCAGCTTCAGGGTTTTTTATATGTTGCTGACATACCTTCTTAATTGTTTTTGCCATATCAGAAGGTTTATAATACAAGCCAATGGTCATCAAGAAGATTCAAATCTGCTGCCATGCAGTCTTATGGATTATTGAGTAGTGTTTTACATCTCTGTAAATTAGCCCAATAGAAACTCAAAGCAATGTTCAGTTCAGTCCACACACTATGCAATACGTACCAGTGCAGTTAGGCTGTTTGATTGAAAATGTGTTTCAAATATACAGCTTTCTTTAGGGAAAGTAAATTCTCCCAGGAACTCGGCACAATGGGTCTCCAAGGGGCTCAGGAGTGTAAACAATGAAACCATGATCAGACAGCATAATTCCTCACCACACACTACATCCTGCACAACTCTCAAACTCATGCCTTTTTTACTGTTGAAAAAAGAAGTGTGCTTTTATGATTCCAACAAGTCCTGATACATGCAACCACAGCTCTGTATATATCACATTACCATTGTAATACTATTTGATACAGCATACTTAGGGGAAGTAAGGGTATTTAATCTAAGACAGAACTGTTTCATGTCAAAATAATTATGCTTTAATTCCTTTCAGATTGCATATGCTGCAGTGGACTGCACAAAGGGACAAAACCATGAGTTGTGTAAACAGGAGGGAGTTGAGGGCTACCCAACATTCAACTATTACAACTATGGGAAGTTCAGCGAGAAATACAACGGGGAAAGAGGGGTAAGTGCTCTTTAATGTGAGTGATTTGTATTTAATACAGTGGCCCTATTAAGAAACACATAAAAATGTATGAATGTTATTGTATGTGACAGGACATCAAAGTTAAAATTTTAGATAAAAGAAAGCACAAGCACACTTTTCAAGCAAGATGCTTAATGGGTTTGAAATTATAAGGATTGGATCATGATTGAGATGATTCTGTTTAAACTGCACTTTACACTTCATCTAGTTTCAAGCACATGTGTATATTTTAACCTTTTAATTATTTTGTTTTTGTTACCCATTTTTATTTAATTTCATGGAAGCACTAGAGAAGTGGTTCTCAACCAGGGGTCCGGGGCCCACTAGGGGGCATCAGTAAACTTCCAAGGGGGCCGTAGGGTGGCTTAAAAGTATTTAAACTAATAAATTAATAATGTATCAAAATAATTCTATATAATAATAATAACAACTCGAAATTAAAATTCTAAAAAAATTATAACAGAAATACCGAAAATAGCTTTTATTCGGGGGCCTTCAAATATAGTGTTGGACAGTGGGGGGCCTTTGAGCCCAGAAGATTAAGAATCACTGACTTAAGGCCGCTTCACACTGAGCGTGATGCGAAAAAGCGAGGCGAATCGCCGACGAACGTTGCTTTCACACTGATGTCGAAACAATTGATCGCCTTCTGCTAATTTACGCCTGCACGCTAGGTGGTGCCGACCAGCAATACATTTTTTCCTCTTGTAACCTATGTATCTCGTATGGCTTTTACATCGTTTGTTGCTCAATATACAGCATTAAATTAAGATAAATAACTTTTGGTTCTTCATCCAAAACACAAACTATCCATAATGCTTTCAAGAATACATCTGAAAATATAATTAGAGGTACAATTACCATCAAGCTACATTTCAAAATGTATGTGATTATTAATGTTTTTGCTCAAACCCCACTTTAAACCATCATCGAGTGCTTGTAATAACTTCCGATTGTGATCTAAAATGGATTTTGATTCTATAATGGGCAGACATGCACTCTTTGTATGTTTTATAATAGACTGATGTCATAAACATCCTTTGTTATAAAAATACCGTGAGCTGCATAAAAACATACAGAAAATATATCGCCATAATCATATGTCTATTTGCTTTCATATTTCATGTGTAGAAACATTTTTCTAATTTTTTTTATATACGGAAGGGCAAGAGATGATTGACAGATCTTGAGTGAACACGCTTTGACTTATATCTCGCGCACGTGGAATAAAACGGACGGTGCTCTCCAGAGCACATAATTCAGTGGAGAATTAATAGGAATGTTATTCTGTATAAAGAATGTGAGAATAAATCTGTTCTCAAATACCAACGATAACAAGAATTAATTCTTCTCTCTCTGGATACTCTTCTTCGGTGTTTGTTTACAAACAATAGTTTACGAAACCGTGCCATCACTCTCACCCTTTTGTGCAACAGCAGCTGCTCCGGACACGTGATCTAAGCTCAAATCTGATTGGACGGCCCGTTTCATCTGGGAAAAAATCGACACAGGACGAAAAAAGAAACGTCGCCTTTTTGCGCCGCGAATGATCGCGCCTGGTGTGAATAGCCCCAGTTGGGATCTATTGTTTTGATTCAAAAGCGTCATCGTGTCGAACATTCTCGCCGATTTTCACGTTCAGTGGGTAAAGGCCTTTACATAATCCTGTTGTACCATATCCTGAATCCGAAGTAATTTCACATGCTTATCTAATGTGACTGCACCTTTGCTAGAACATGCCCATATTTAATGTGATGAACTACAGTACAGCTAGGACAAATAAAAAATAACAGCAGAGAAAGAAAAGGTCTAGCATAAAGGCCGTTTCACACTGAGCGCGATGCGAAAAAGCGAGGCGAATCGCAGACGAACAATGCTTTCACACGAGCATGAAACGATTGATCGCCTTCTGCTAATTCACACCTGCACGTTAGGGGGCGCCGACCAACAATGGGCTGCATACTGAGCTGCATACAAAACACATACAGAAAATATATCGTCATAATCATATGTCTATTTGCTTTCATATTTCATGTGTAGAAAAATGTTTCACTCAATTTTTTTAACACGGAAGATCTAGACAGTTAACGCGCTCTGACTCATAACACTCGTGCACGTGGAAGAAAACGGACACTCCAGATCACATTATTCAGTGGAGAATTTAGAAGTTATATTAAGAACATGTGAGAATAAATCTGTTCTCAGATACCAAAGATAACAAGAACTCGGCATCCACTCTCTTCTCTCTCAGGATACTCTTCTTCGGTGTTTGTTTACATTGGTTTTCTAAACAGCGCCACCACTCTCACTCTTGTGTACAACAGCAGCTGCTCTGGGCCACATGATCTAAGCTCAAATCTGATTGGATGGACCGTTTCATCGCGGAGCGACGGGGAAAAATTCGACACACAGGATCCTCGCTTTTTCGTGCCGCGAATGATCGCGCCTGGTGTGAATAGCCCCATATCATCGCGCCGAATTTTTGCTTTTAGTGTGAAAAGCCCTTAATTTATTTGCAAATGCCACCTTTATTTTGTCTTGGTTAATCTACAGTGGTTCTCAAACCTTTTACAGTGGCGTATCCCCTGGGGGATTTAACATTCTTCTGCGTACCCCCTCTCTTCCACTTAGACCACAGGCACAGTCATACCTTTTCAATTAAGGGACGATATTTGCCCCCTTAAATTGAGTCACAGGTGCATTTTTACCTTTATAGAGGCAATGTTTTTCTAGCCTTATAAATTGAATGCCATGTTTTATTTCATATTCTTAAAGATTTTAAAAAAACTAATGGAACACTGCTGTAGGCTATGTTGGTTGGCTGCTCTGGGCCACGTGATCTAAGCTCAAATCTGATTGGATGGACCATTTCATCGCGGAGCGACGGGGAAAAATTCGACACACAGGATCCTCGCTTTTTCGTGCCGCGAATGATCACGCCTGGTGTGAATAGCCCCATATCATCGCGCCGAATTTTTGCTTTTAGTGTGAAAAGCCCTTAATTTATTTGCAAATGCCACCTTTATTTTGTCTTGGTTAATCTACAGTGGTTCTCAAACCTTTTACAGTGGCGTATCCCCTGGGGGATTTAACATTCTTCTGCGTACCCCCTCTCTTCCACTTAGACCACAGGCACAGTCATACCTTTTCAATTAAGGGACGATATTTGCCCCCTTAAATTGAGTCACAGGTGCATTTTTACCTTTATAGAGGCAATGTTTTTCTAGCCTTATAAATTGAATGCCATGTTTTATTTCATATTCTTAAAGATGTCAAGGTTTTAAAAAAAAAACTAATGGAACACTGCTGTAGGCTATGTTGGTTGGACACATACCAGCTCTATTGCAGATTTCATAGAAAATATTATTATTTTGTTGCAAAAATATTGACTATATTGTGTTTAAAGTATAGGCTACATTTAAAATGTAAAATATTAATGTAATATTACATTTTTTTTGTTGAACTGTTGTATAAAATTAATGTCACATTTCCAATTGTTTGGATATTCAGGGAAAATTACATTCTTGCTCGTATTTTAAACATGATAAACAGGGAATATTTCTATATTGAAGAGAGTTTCTTAAATCGATCTTTATGTACAGTACAGCCCGTGTCAATATTTGTTCTTCGTGCTAAAAACCTACTTGAAAGATACATTGAACAGCAGTTCGATTATACTAGAAGCGGCATTTTGCTTGTCAGAAATACATGCTCTGTTTTAATGTTACTTTAAGTTGGAGTAGAATTAAATGAATGCCAAAACTCAGCATTTTATTTGCTCTCCATCACGTCACATACCCCCGGGGTACATGTATCCCTGGTTAGAGAACCACTGATCTAATACAATGACATTCATTTGACATATTTTTAATGCATTTATATGCAAGTGTCCAAATACTTTTGGGGGCCACCGTAGTGAATGTTTTTTTTTATATTATGAGGTGAATGGTTTTTCATTTTTCACTTACACTGTCTACCCCCTACAGGAAGCTGGCTTTACTGGTTTCATGAGAAATCTCAGGGGCCGAGACCAAGAGAAAGTGGGCAAGCGGAAGGAGGAGCTCTAATAGAGTGGGCGTGGTTCCTATAAATGGGAGGGGCCTATCATTGCACTGTGACTTAGGCAGGGACATCCCAGCACTGATGCCACAGACTTGAAACCTCAGCTAAAAAGGCAATTTTTTTTATATAGCTGTGCCCTTATGTTTGTAATACCAATGTACAACTATCAGACCACTTTTTGTTTTGTTTTCGTTTTAATTTCCTCAGACATTTTGTGAAATTGTTTCCAAATACTGTGACTTCAGTTACTGAAATCCACACCTGAAATCTATGCAACACTGGGCCCTCACTCGCCAGGGTCCCATACGTGTGATGGGTGGCTGGTGTTTAATGGGAAAAACCAGTTATCGCCAGGATACATTGCCGTCACTCCCATTTCAGTGAAGAGTAATAATGTGTACAATCGTATCTGCAAATATTTTTGTAAAAAAAAAAAAAAGAAAAAGAAAAAATGCTGTATGACATCATGTTTTTGGGAGTAAAAAAAAAAGATGGAGAAAGTTGTTGTAGCTGAACTTTGTGGCCTTAAATGTTTGAATTAACTGTCGTCCAATATTTTACTATTTTCAAGAAATACAGTACTAGGGCCAAAATACAAGAGCAAATGCAAGGACATGTATTCAAGCAAGTAGTTTTTTCCTCATGTTTTATTGTCAGTTGTGACAGAATAAAATGACATAACAAAACTGGAAATGCCAAAAAAAGAAGAAAAAAAAACATTTTAGATTGAAACCATTTTTCAGAATTAATTCTTGGAAGTTTAATCCATGAAAATTTCTGGGCCCTTCACATTCCATTGTAAAGGGGTCATATGATGCTATTTTAAAGATCATTATTTTGTGTATTTGGCGTTTTAGGTAGGTGTGGCTGACTCTTAACTTTGATAAAGAATATCTCTTTGGATTTGAGACTTTAGTCTTTGCAACTTTACAGATCTTCTTTATGCACCAAGAGCTTGTAACACTCCAAAGAGAAAGGAAAACTTGAAATCGCATCATATGACCCCTTTAAAAGTCTTGTCTGGTTTAAATGTCTAGTCTGGTTATGTAGTTTCTGATTTACATTGCTGTTCTAGATCTATAATACACATGGACATTTCCTCTTCTAAGCATGGGAATGGTACAATAGGTGATGATGGGTACCATAGATAATGTCTTCATTTATGCGGGAGCAAGATGGTTTGCTTTAAGGTATGCTAAGTGATGCTCATTTAATACGTCTCACTGGTTTAAACAATGTAGTGCCGGAGGATCTGTTTTACTCACTCCTTGCCAGATGTTGGCACTCTTAGTGATACCACAACCCTTACCAGTATCTCTGTGGCGACTCCACTATTGTGTGTGTGGAAAACTCCCTGCTCTAGGCAGTATACATATTTAATGGTCTTGTAGCTGAACTTTTGTTGTATAATTCAGAAGGTTGGTTCGTTTCATTATGAATAATGTTCTCAGGGATAGCGAAACACAATTGAAGAGCACTATCGCTCATCGTAATTTGCAATCCAGTTGGGTGTTCTCTATTCACGTTGCCGAATTATGAATTGTTTACATGTGTCTTCGGGAGATGGAACACGAAAAAAATAATTGAACAGGAATTTAGTTTACATTTCCTTGCCAAAAGTATTGAATAAAACATGAGTCAAGGAACGCTGATGCATAGATGTCAATTATATGCAAGATAATGGCTTCAAGTTCAAAATACTGTCTGTAAAGTTAAAGTGGGATCACATGCTGAATTTGTATCATGTAGCTAAACGTAAAAGGGTCCTGTTGAGGGGAAGCGTACAGATAGCTTGCCAGAACATGTTCAATAATGGTCCAAAATGACAGATGTATTGGATGAAAGCTTGCACAGATTTGTGTCACTACGTGCAACAACTGTCAAGACATGGTTTGTTTGTGCATTGACATTTTCATCAATATTTGGATGGTCAGGGGCCTTCACCTGGTTCCTCTGAGTTATTCTCTTGTAGAAAGATCTGCTTTGTCTTATCCCAAAGGTCTGTGGGAGCTACCACAATGCCAAGAAGTCACTGTCGCCTTTATTTTTTTGTGCCCAGCCATATGTACAGTTTTGCTGCATTGAACACAATGCAAAATAAAATGCATACATTTCCAAGAACCATTGTCAAAATTATTCAAATAACATTGTGAATATTACTTCTTAATTGATAACGAACATACTACTTTTAAAGTGCAAAAATGTTAGATTTCTTATTTTTTCAAGATGAAATCTAAACTGGGTTGAAATGGAGTGTTTCTCTATTACTTTTTTTCCCAGAGGATGATGGGGAAAAATGCAGACTTAAATTAAAGATATATCAAAATATTTTACAATAGTGATGTATAACATCTTATAATTGAGACGTTGGCAACTGCACAACAACATGCTAATATTTGTACCCAGAAAATAATAATACCCACATTGCAAGACTTGGCACTATGCCAATTTTTTATGATGTTTTGCACAGAAAGGCAAAAAACTGTGCAATTTGTAAGAAAGGTTTGTAAACTTTTGCTGTTGTTCTTAAACACCAAAGGACAAATACGGACTAGTTTGCAATAAGGCCACACATACTTGATGTAAACACTTTTTTTTTTTTTTACTTCCCTGAAAGTAGGATAACAGTACATGCTTATTAGATATCAACTTTTATCATACTATATGAAAATAGCCAATCTGAAGAAGAATAGGACATCTGACCAGAAGCCTGTTATTTTGAAGTTGTTCTTTCTCGTTTCACTAAATATGGGTAAATATGGGAAGAAATGTCACTGCTTTTGAAATGAATGAGAAAATTTGTCTTCACCTGCTGTCATTTAGCACCTCTGCTGTTTTGGTGGCTACAACAGAGTATAACAAATAAATTGCCTGACGAAACTGCGAAAACACGCACTATTGTGCTGTTCCTGAGTAATTTCTTATCAAAGTTTTCTGTCAGGTGTTTCTATTTACGGAAGTCTTCCTGGACTAATTCTGTCATGATCTCAAACGAGCCGAGCCCTTTGCCATCTTACTGCACAGGAACCCTTGTAAGAGGCATGAGCTGTTTGCCAGATTGGAAACTCAAGGGATGAGTCAGTACTGTTGGACATTTAAATGGCTGCCCGTGGATAAACACCTGCTGGTGAAATGCATGTGTTGTCAAGTGCAATATGTGACTGTTTAATGGTTTGGAGAGAAGGATGGTTCCATCAAAATTACATGGAGGAAGCTTACTGAGGGTGCAGGCAATTACTTTTGCCTGGATGCACCCCTACATGTCAGAACCAGGGGTAAAAGGAGGACAAGAAAATGCCAGCATGAATGGAAGTTAATAAGTAGAAGATAAATAAATACACATTATGCTGTGTGTAATACAGAGTACACATACTTTCTCTGTATAATTGGGTGATGCTAAAAGTTAATAAAGTGTATCCCATCTCACTGACCTTAAACATCCAGGAAATGGCAAGGGGCTGTCATAATCCAGACATGGCCTGTCAACCACCTTTCTTTATCACCAGGAAATTGTTTGCAGTCCAGACTGAATGCAGGCCAATAATATGTATCTGTCAAATATAAGCACATAGCAACTTCATAACGCTGGCATAAAATTGTTTGCTATTGAAATGTCTTCCTGTTTTCAGAAAGAGAAGAACCCTTTCACCAAAAAACGAATGAGCTGATGACAAAAATGCAATGTGTTATGTAATTTAAATCTTTAAATTAGTATATTCAATTAAAATTTTTATAACTATGACACTTGTGTAACTGAGGTGTTAGATTAACAGGCAGAGCATGTGAGATTCAAGAAATTAATGTTATGCTGTTGAGTGGAAACAAACAACTATTACTCATAATTGCTTGGTTCCATTTTAGCAAAAGTAAGTTACGATTAACTTACATTTTAGTTAGTTACAATTTTGCGGCTACTTTGTCAATTTTCGCTCCGCCAATAAAAATAGTTCCAAACAAAGCGAATCAACTGCTGGCATCCAGCAGGGGATGGCACTGAACGAATCAGTGTTTGAAAGAATCGGTTGAGTGAATCATTCAAGGCTCATTCATAAATAAAGTCATTCGTTTTGTCTTGAATGATTAAACGAATTGGTTGAATGAACGACTCACTCCTAAACACAGTCACTTGTCGGCACCTACTGGCGTAACTATACAGAGAGAGCTGCTAAAAAATCTTCTTCACAGACAGAGTTTGGACAGCAAACCACAGACAAGTGGAATGAAACAATGAAAAGTCCCAGAGCTGTTTTTTTTTATTATTATTAAAATAGAACAGATAACAAACAGAGCATAGCATAAGACAGTCATTACAATACAAAGTGTGACATTAATTAGTAACAGGGGATCTGAAAATAATGTCATATTTTATATGTTAATGACTTTTTAACCGCATAAACACATTTTATTACACCAAATACACCAAATAATGTTGTTTTTAGCAACATCATATGACCCCGTTAAAGAAAAAGTCCCAGAGCTGTTAAATCAATAGAGGGTATGCATGTGACGTCACCATCAGCTGGAGTGACTGCGGCTCCGCCCACTGAGTGGCAAAAAGACTGAATGACGGCATTGGTTTTCAGCATGAACGCTGTGACAGAACACACAAAACACATCTAAAACGAGAAAGAGCTTTGCGATTGACTGTACAAAGAGATTTGACAATAAATCTGAGCTATATTTTTACAGACTGCTGAAAGCTACAGAAAAGAGAAGCAAATGAATCGCTGCAATTCACAGAAACAAATGGACTCCAGGCAGCGAAACACGGATTTGCAGTTATCATTTCATGTTAATATGTTGAATTTTGCGGTAAAATCATACCCTATCTATTGTTTTATAATATATCGTATTGACAAATCGTCAATAAAATATTTACCATCTTAAATTCTGCATAACTGGAAGTTTTTAAATAAACACTGACAAAAACTATACAAGTTTTTGGGCTGGACGATATATATATATATATATAACATTGATATAAGTGATCACCCAGATTTAGACCAACCTATTTTATATTTACAAAATGCATTCACAGTTCAAATTTGCTTTATTTATTTCCCCAGCGTCAAAATCAGGCACAAATGTCAGGAAACACGATTCCTGGCTGCATATCAATACCTATGGACACTGGATATTTGGTAAGTTATAAGGAACACTATTTCGAGTCCAGCAGCCTTTAGTTTAAACTGATCATCGTTTGTTTTACTCGCGTTTTCACAACTTCCCTATTAAATCCATTCATGCGGCAGGCTCTTTTGCCACTCAGTCCGGCTGAGGGGACGTGTTTGTTCCGGCGGGAAAGTGACGTCAATCCATACCCTCTATACAAGATGTACATTCATATCCTACCCATAATTCAATTTTTATGACTCCAAAGCCTGATATATTATTTTGTCAATATTCAACAGTGTAAACTGTGTCTCTCCAGTTACATTTCTGTTGTAGAGCATTGTTTCACATACTGAAATTATCAGTTAGTTCAACACAGTCCTTTCAGCTTGTGGCAAGAAAATGAATAGCCCATGGAAATATTCAATAATACAAATCACTGGGACAAATCTCTCAGTAACAGAAGTCAATGGCATAAATACACCCCCATTATCTTTACTGGAGGAATAAAGATTTTTCTCCACCCTCGCTCAGAAAGCAATAATCAAAATGATGTGCACCACTTGCCAAGAAATCCATACAAACTCATTCTCCCCTTGTTTCACAGATGTGGCAGTAAAAGCAAAAAAAGCATATGTTTTCTTAGCAGCAACAGAAGCAGAATAAGAAAATGACACTTTTGAGCTTTAATTGGGTTTCATGAAAAAAAAAAAAGACACCCAAAGGCTGGGAGTTAGCGTCCCTCGAAATGCATAATAATTCTGCTGTTGTTTTTAGTCATCCATAAAATTGATATTACTACCAGATCAGTCATTTACAGGGTGCTTTAGGGATGAATGAGCATTTGGCAGGAGGCAGCGTTTCCTAAAGTGATGTCTATATCCGGTTTACCCAACCCACTGATGTTGATCTTTTACTCTTCCATATATGTTGCTGCAGTATTTTCAGCCCATTCTACCACTCCACATCCTGTCAGTATGAATGACAACATCTTCACTTGACACCTTGACACTCTTGCATTAAATACATAGCTTTAGACTGCCAGCTATTCATAAAGCTGTCCATGTAGAGAACATCAATCTTCAATGCATGGCTCACACTGCATGCTGTGAAGTGGATGTTTCCAGGAGGTCACTTTAGGCTGAAGGGCTCTCGGTTTCATCCTTGTAAAGACATTGAATTGAGTGTGAGTGATGAATGAATCTGAATGATTCACATCAAAGATCAAGCGTTTGACACTGACAAAACTACAAAACACTACAAAAAAAAGTCAGATTTTGTGGTTTATAAACTTAAAAAACAAGAATGCTATATTTAAATGTAAAAAATTTTTTTTGATGGTGTGTCATCTAAACATCAACATTTGTGATTTGATTTATTCCATCTGATGTTCTGATGTTAGTTCATCTATTTTTTGTGACTGGATGGAATTATGTATTTATATTACAATAAACATCACAAAGCTTTTTTTTTTTTAAATGGGGATTCATGATTAAATTATATAGATTGGAGAAGGGTTTTTATTATTATTATTATATTTTGTAAAGTAGAAATGTAAAGTTAAACCCCCTCACAAATAGCTTAAATATGAATTCACAGTCGTCATCATAACGGCATAATAGATCTATTCAAGAAACTTGCATCACCTCTGCATCACTATTTCATAGACTTGATCGGTGTCGCGTCATAGCTGTGTGGGCGGAGTCGGCGTGGAAAACAACATGTTTTGCTACACTAACCATAGTTTAACCATGGTATTTGTAGTAAAACTGTGGTTATAGGCTACAAT